ATCGAAGTTGACATAGTTGCCAAATTATAAAAAAATCCTGACTCCATTATAAATCAAATAGATTACATAATTATTGCAAAAGTATTACCATCTCTTTACAACGACTATTTAAATTTTTACGTGACATTTTTGAAATAAAACACAGTAATTTTGTTCTAAAAAGAACAGATTTTATTAAATAGTTAAAAATATAAAACAAGAGATATTCACTTTAAAATTCAAAATAATGAAGTACAAAAAGTGTCAACATAGCAACTGTCAAATAAGTGTTACCAATTTATGCCAAAATTTTACCTTCGTTCGATTAAAGTTACAGTGTGTTTCGAACAAATGTTCTTGATAAAAACGCTCTATAATGCATTTATACAAATTAAATGAAACATATTATTGTGTATTTATTTAAGTTGACATTAATAGAAATTTTTAAATATTATTTCTACGCGTATATAATGAAATATGTCTAGTGGCTGTAATGCCAGTGTACTCGGTAAAGTGATTGTAAAAAAGAACACACCTACACCCTAAATATTTTGTGTTGGTATCATGTGACGTCACAGGCTATGACGCCGATGACGTGCATCGTTATATAAATTAGATGAAGTGTAGGTATGTAAAAATGTGAGTTTGATGAACTACTATCTGGTAGTTCATAGTAGTTTCCTACTATGAGGAAATAAGGACAACATCCGAAATCGTAATTAAGGAAAATATGGAAATTGAAATGTTCGACGTAAAAAAGGGGCTATACTATTTTAGTTCAATAATAGGATAAATCTAGGATATAATGCAATTTCAAACAAATGAGTGAAGTACGGAAAAGCAAGTTTAGTGCAACAATTTGCAATATTAAGTACTCAAGATTTTCTATTACCCTAAAATACCAAGAGAATAGCGGACGAATACTATACTAATTCGTTTGTTTAATATTGAAGATAATTATTAGATAATTGACACAAAAAAATGAAGGATAAAAAAATATTAATGGTCCAAAAAAAACGAATGGAATAAACATATTGTTTCCTAACAGAACGCAAGAAGAAACAGTGCTGACAAGATCTTCAACATTACAATCGAAGACTGAGCCGTTCCCAAAAAAGTTGAGATGATCTAATTGCGGAGGGGCAAGCGTATGACGATAAAACAGGCAATTTGTCTTAAATCAAGATCAAAAAGAAAGAAGAAGAATAAGAAAAATTCTAAAATTAAAAAAAATCCAAAATAATTTTAATTTGGTTACAGCTATGGTTTAGTACCGTAAGCATTTGTTTAAAAAAAATAAATTTAACACGTTCAGTCCCGGGTGGTATCAGTAGGATGCCTCTAAATAGTACTCTTGGGACAGTGAGGCATCACTCTAATGTCACACTACAGTTTTGTATTTGGGACACCTTGGCATCAACTGTGCCCCCACAGCTATATAAATTATATTGTGAGTTGGACAGGGTGGCCCAAGGAGCAAAATAATATTTGTGAGAGGGTTTTTACGAAAGATATGGAAATTACAAAACTTTATGAAAAAAATTAAAGATTTTATTCAGAATGTCCAAAAATAATTATAATATTGTAAAACCTTATTATTATAAAACAGTGTGTTGGGAAAAAAACAAGAAATATAATAATGTTTTTTGCATTGGTTGCACAAAAATTTAGAACAAGAACACTTGTTTTGAGCTTCCTTTCGCCCCAATTCATTCTTCATTCTGACGTAGCAAACCACACATCTGTTGTTTCTTCCTTCTACAAGCTCATGACTGACATCGGTGTTATAGTTGATATTAGTTTCAATAGCTGACATTTCACCCAGTAGTTCTATAGCGACTCTGTTATAGTCAATTTAGTTTGTGTAAGCTGTGTATATACAATACGAGCATTCACCAAGGCACTACCAAACAATAATTTTGTGGATAATTTCCTGTACCATTTATTCGCTCGTCTCAAGCAATGTAAATACGCTTTTTTCTGATCTGAGAGATCAATCAAGGATTTTGAATCATTGTAATTAACAATCATTTTGGGCTTTTCAATTTCTTTGTCTTTGTGTAGACGTTTCAACATTTCATCCCCATGCTTTGTCTATACTAATCATCAGGATATCCCTTTTGTCACACCATTTTAAAATTACAACTCCGAAATTACTTTGTAGGGCAATTTTTTCATTTTTTTTAGTTTTTCCTAACAATCTCGGGACAATTCATTTTTCTGTTTGACCGAACAGTGCCTACAAGGTGAGTTGTACGGTTGATCAGTGTATGAGCAAGGGTGACGCTCGTATAATAATTATCTGTGAAGAGAGTACGACCACTATCTAACAACCCTTCCATAAGTGATAGAACAACAAATAAAGAAGCATTTTAACCATCCTGACTATCTTTTCTGCAGTAAATTTTGAGGTCATAAGTGTAGCCGTTTTCTAAGCAAAGCTTATATAATTTAATACCAAATTTGTGTTTTTTATTTTTGATATATTGCTTGAATTTCAAGCGACCGCAATAAGGTACCATCACCTCGTCAATATAGACATTTTCTCCTGGAGTAACAATTTGCTGAAATATAGAAATAAGTTTTTGAACCAACGGAGATATTTTGTGAAGCCGATCAAAATCCAGTGAGTTTGGTTGTGGCTTCTTCTTCTCGTGCCACTCCTAGCGGAGATTGGAAATCATCATGGCCACTGCGACTTTGTTAGCAGCGCGCCTGAAAAGTTCAATCGAACTACACCCGAACCATTCACGTAGATTACGAAGCCACGATATTTTTCTTCTTCTCACACTTCTTTTGCCCTTAATTTTGCCCTGCATGATGTTTTTTAAAAGTTCGTACTTTTCACCTCTCACAATGTGCCCCAAGTATTCCATCTTTCTAGTTTTTATCTCATTTAGAATTTCGCATCTTTTGTCTAAAGTTTGGAGTACTTGCGTGTTAGTGACGCGGTCCATCCATGATATTCTGAGAATGCGCCTATAGCACCACATCTCGAAAGCTTCGATGTTTTTTATGGTCAACTGTTTTAGTGTCCAAGCCTCAACTCCATATAACAGGGTAGAAAAGACATAACACCGCAGCATTCGTATTCGTAACTTTATATTGATATCACGATTGCAAAAGAGTTTGCGCATTCTATTGGTTGTGGCGCTGTTTCATTATTGTTGAAGTGAATATTTGAAAGTAATTGCCCAAAACGATTTCTAGACATTTTGTGTCTTATATTGGTAACAAATAAGTAATTTCTGCTCCAATATTCGTGTAATCGTGGTGCTTTTAGCAATCCCATCTATATAGTTACCCCAAAGAATATTTCCATTTCTTTTCTTGTAGTTGGCATCCAACGTTTACATTTAGATTTGGCTACAACAGGTCGGCCATTTATCTGTTGATCTGCGTATAAATTCGTTTGATCAACTATATAATCGATCAAGTTCATCAGTCACAAATAGTTTGTAAAAGAAATAAGGAGTTTCTGTAAAATTTTTATAATATTCCAGTCTTACCTCCGCATTCTGAATAATCTGCGGAAAATGTTTCAACTTGGAAGTGTCAACTTTGCTTCATAATAAATCTGAACTCTCCCCTTCATCTTCTTCTGCGACAACAGCAAATGCAGAAATTACAGTTTCTATTGTCTGTTGCATCAGGTCATCCTAAACAGAAATTAGGTATGACTTTCCAAAATGAACATAAAAGTTTAATAAAACTTACCTCATTTCAACGGCCAGTAATGCCCGTTTTCATTGATGCCATGTAATTTTCTCAGTTTCCTAGGAATTTCAATTTTCCCAGTCTTCGTCTGACATAAGCTCTACGTATAAATTTACAAGTCTTTTCTGTTCTTTTTCGTAGGAATCCATCGAAAAAATTGTGTAATCTAATATTTTATAGTACACTCATACAATAACCGTACGCAAAGAGCACCGAACAAAGGATGACTCAGAATATAACGTTAAATACTTCCGTCTCTTCATACAAGAATGAATGAGTTTGAGGCATCACGTAAATGCCACGCTGTCCAAACAAACACATTTATAGTTCTCGGACAGCGAGGCATCAATATGATACCTCAAAGATGTTGTGCAATAACTCGATTGTCAAATATTTTTTTTGAAAATAAATCAGAAATGCAGAAAAGCAAACACGACTCCCATCTTATTTACAAAAAATAAAATGCTGACCAATGGACAAGAAAAAAAAAATATAACACCGGGGCTGAACGTGTTAAACTATTTTCGGTTTTAAATAATTTCCGGTTTTTTTTTAATTTCGATGCCTGGACTAATACAAAACGAACTATCCGCGTCTAGTAATCCAAGATAAGACCTGTTACATCATATTACATTTTACATTTTACTTTCTACCTTTCAATCACAGCGCACGTTTTAATACACTTAATTAGTAGTTAGTGAAGAGTAAAACTGCTGAACTAATTTTATAATGTCAAATATTTTAAACACTTTTATACACCAAAACTGGAATCAAGCATCTTTTAATAAAACAAAATTAAAGTTGAAAGGCTTATACAAAATAACCTATATATTTGCAACCACCATTACATATGGCAAAATAAAGCCATAAGTTTGAACAATTTATTAAAATATCATATTATCATATGAAATCAAAAATTGTATAATAATAACCTGGGTTTCTAATCAATTACACGATATACATGATCGGTTATTGAAAGATTAGATTTTTATATCTTGCCTCATGCAAATGAATGAGATTCAGTAATAATGACTTTGACATTGACAGCTGTGATTACTCACACTCACCTCCTACAAAATTTGTAAACAAGATGTGAGTGATAATAAAATAGTTAATCTTAATCACAGGATATTTATTAATGTAAATACCTTATCAGACCCAAATAATGATAGAATATTAAACTAATCAGCGTTATTACCATTGTAATGTACGTATAATCAGTTCAATCGATCAATAATAAACAAAAGAAAAAGAAATGTCTCTCATAGCAGATATATTATTAAATTGGAAGATATTTATTGTAGGGGTTGGTTTGTTAACGTCAATTTCTATTATAAATAGTGTAATTCCTCTATTACCTGTAAGTGGTGTTACATTTTTAAGTTTTTCTGTACTAATTTGGTTTGGATCCCTTTGCATTACCTTTTTCTATTTACATAAGTTGTTGCAAAGAAATGAACCACTAGAAATTATTAAAGTAAGTAAACACAGCAAAAAGGATCATATTAGTGTAAAACCAGACCCGAAAAAGCTGAATGGCCTAGTTGGAGATATTGATAAATATTTTTTAAGTATCTGGTATGTGTATATAAGTAGTGATGCTGAATTTACTAAGGAGAGTAGAGTATTTCTTGAAGATGTTATCAAGAGGTTAGTAGAGGTCCAATCATGTGTACATAATAAGGTTTTAACCCACAGCATATTGAATATATTTTTGAGACACTTAAAAGAGTACAGAAGAGGATTAAAAAGAAAGGAAAAGTACACTGGAAATATTGAAGAACTGTATAGGTAAGTGATTTTATTATTGGCAAACCTACTTTACGCAGGTATAATACTTTATGTGCTTTACTACCAAATATTTGATAGTATTTAAAAAGAATATAGACCCATATGCCTCTATATTCTTTGGTATTTATATATGTACCAAAGATGTATAATATTTTCATAATTCATATATTTATCCATACTAAAGGTTGGCAACCAATATCACACTGTATTATAGTATTTATAAAGTCAGTTGAAACACCCAAAAACCTGCTTGCCGACCAACAATAAAAGAATAATATCATATTACCAGACATGGGCGCATCATTTAATTTTATAATCAAATATATATTAATGTAGAACAGAAAAAGGACAATTTTAATTTACTTAAAGCTGCCGTAAAGTACATAAGTATATAAAAAAATGTTTAACATGTCATATTAAGCACCAAAAATAATTTATAATTAAATGGCAATAGGCTATATTGGCAGTATAATGATTTAATTATACTTCGTAAAATAATAAACATTTTTGCTGTACAGCACTGGCATGCATCGGCAGCGTTTCTTATCTGTACCCTTCGCCACCGGCTAGAACGGGACCTCCAAGTAGCGTGTTAAATATTGGTGATTTTGATGACATATCAATGTCCAATATTTATTTGATGGGATGTATCTTTCATTCCCTCTTTCTTCACTCTATTTCCTACGAAGTACGGGGATTGTTCAAATACGTTTGAAAGATTGACGCATGTTATTTATACTTTAACTTGATTACCGGTAAATGTAATATTGAACTGCCCTTATAAATCAAGTCAGAGAGAAATGTTTCAACTGACTTTATAAATACTATACCAATTACTTAATCTATGATTTTGTGATTAAGATTATAGATATTATCTAAAAAAATTCAGTTCTTATTTAACATCAGTCTCTCAAATCAGAAGTTGTCAAGGAATTCACCATAAGTGACAATGGTTTAGTAAATTTCCTTGCAATATATAAAATGCAGGACAATAATTAAGTAGTTTAGGGCAATGAACATAATCTAAGGTTTGTTTAGGAGTAATAGGAAGTATTAAGAAGAAAAATAAAGTTCTGCAAAAGAAGAGTAAATTGAGATTTCTCAGATATGAAACAATATTTATAAATTGATAGTGACAGAAAGAGCTATACAGAGAGATATAGGAGAAAAACTGAAATAACTTAGGGAGAAGAGTTTAATTATGTGAAATCTGAAGATGGGGTAAGGATGATACAATGAATAATAAATTAGTTCTCAGAAACATAATTCTGTAGGTTATCCTGGTTCAATTTGTAGAAAAGTTAGATGAGTATAAAATGTAGCACAAGAGTAGGAATACATTCTGGCTTTGATTTGACAACTGATTTGGTATTTTTAGCTATTTCATTGTTTTGAATATTTCTGTTCTATTCACAGAGTCGTTTGTAGTCTATAAATATGTGATGAGTCATCATCATCATTCAATCTTCGCTTATCTACTGCTGGACATAGATCTCCCTCATAATTTTCCATCTATTTCGATCTTGTGCCTCTTGCATCCAATTCCTATGACAATGTTTTAGATCCTCAGTCCAATGTGTTGGTGGACAACCTCTGCTTCGGTAGGCATCATCTCTTGGTCTCCATTTCAGTATCCGCTTTGTCCATCTATTATCTGTCATTCGAGACATGTGACATGCCCAGTTCCATTTCAGTATTGCTACTCTCTCTACTGCATCAGCCTCTCCTGTTCTTTGTCGTAGCTGGGGATTTGGGATCTTGTCTCGTAGTGAAACGCCCAACATAGCATGCTCCATCGCCCATTGACACACATGGATCTTTTGAACTGTTCTCCTTGTCATGGTCAATGTTTCCACACTGTAAGTCAACACTGGCAAAACACACTGATTAAAGGTTTTTCTTTTAAGGCATATTGGTATATCAGACAATATGAAAATATGGTTCAGCTTGCCAAAGGCTGCCCAAGTCAGTCTTATACGACAGAGAAGCTCAACTGTGTGGTTAACCCCCTCTGTGGCTCAGTGGTAAGAGCGCCTGCCTTTAAATCTAAAGGTCGTGAGTTCGAATCCCACCTGGGTGGAAATTTTCGTTTATTAAAAAAAAAAAAATTAATAAATGAAAATAATTTCTATCCTTGTGTGATCGGTACATACCGGAGGGACCGCAGACGTTCGGATACAATTAGCGTCTCTTAGCAAAGACAATGACGTCGACTTTGCTAAGTATCAAGACAATTACTCTACACACACAAACACATACACACACACTACATTAATAAACTTATCTTGATTGAGACTGGCTGAATGACAATTGTCCAAGCCAAAACACAAAAAAAAAACTGTGTGGTTATCTTTTCCTATGTGGATCTCATGACCTAGGTATTTATTGACCATTACCTGGTCTATGGATCTTGTTCCTATGCATATATCTTCGCTGACTACAAGATTTGTCATCATCTGGGATTTAGATATATTTATTTTCACGTGATGAGTATCAATGCCATATTCCAGTGTTTATTTTCCAAAATTTGTTTTAGGGTTGCAATCTGATTAACTGTCGATTTACTATCTCTGAAATCAGCCTGGAATTTTCCTACTATCTGTTCTGCATATGGTGCCATTCGATTACATAGTACTTACTGTGGAAAATATTTTATATGCTGCATTTAGAAGAGTAATTCCTCTGTGGTTAGAGCATTCAAAGATATCTCTCTTTTGTGTATGGTGCAAAGTATTCCAATATTCCAATCTTTGGGAAGGGATTCCTGTATCCATATTTCTTTTATAAGCTACTGTAATGCCATTATGGTATGGCCACCTTCTTTATATAGTTTAGCTGGGAGATTATCTATTCAGGGTGATTTGTTTCTGGCTAGTTTTTTAACTGCATCTTTAACTTCAAGAATCATTGGTATTTCCTCTTCCCTCTCATCTGTTCCCCTTACCTCATCTCTTTCGTCTTCATCCTCTATATTAAGTACCTGGTTAAAGTATTCCACCCATCTACTCAATACATCTTTTCTTGTTGTTAATAGGTCGCCATTCTGACTTCTGCATTGTCTTGTGGTTGCCTTGAATTCTTTTCTGTTAATGTGAACTGTCATGCTCTTAATTATTTCTCTCTGTTGAGGTTTTCTATATATTTAAGCTCCTCATTTAGGTGGTTTCGTTTTTTTCTTTTGTGTCCTCTTTTCTTATGTTCTCTTTGTCTGGTAATTCTTTACAGTTGTTCTAGTTCATCACTTAAGTTTCTTTCTATAGGCTTCATTTTTTTCTTTTATTACATTCTGTTGAGCTCACCCAGGGGAGAAAAACAAAAAGACCCAAAAGATAATGGTTGACAGCAGTGGAGGAAAATTTAGAGGAACTATCAGTTATAAATTGAAACATTCACATACAGAATAAAAGAAAATGGAGTAAAATCTCCTTCTATGTACTAAGAACACTGAAGTAAATAAAACAACCAACAAATAATTTCAAAAAGACAAGGAACAGTCAGGTTTTACTTAACAGTAGTTGCCAATAGGATATTTGTTTGCAAATCGTTATTTCTGAGCACACTATTTTCTGATATACTTACTTAAAGTTAGTTATATTGGGAAAAAACAGCTCGCATGGTTTTAGCAAAACAAACTGAACGAGAAACTGTAGAGTCTCAAAAAAGGGAAGGTAGGACATCTGTGTTTATACAGAAGAACCTGAAAAACCGATAGATAGCGAACATCCACTACATAAGTAGTCCAAAGTATGTTTCTTTGTAGAATCACAGCAAGACAGCAAAAGGTTGCTGTCATTAAGGATTGATCAGGTTGCTGTCTTCGAACAATGTATGCTCTGCTTATAGATGACCATAAAATCTTTAATGAATTAACTAACTTTTTAACGACTTGCACACATTAATTAAAATGTTGCAAATGCACACATTAATTTAAAAAAAGGACAAGAAAAGGTCATAAAGCATTTGAATAACGAAAATAAAGTATATTGCAAATGTAACATAAAAATATCTACTACCTGACAGAAACAAAAATGGACTAAAGTACAGTTACACTAAAATTAAATGTAAACTGTGATTAGGGAAAATATATTAACTATAATTCTTAGAAAAAATAACAATAATAAAAAAATTTAATAAATAATAATAAAAATACTAAAATAAATAATAAACTTGATATGAATGGGTCAGCAACGGCCATAAAAAGTTTGAATAGCGCTGGACTACAGTCGAACGTGTGAGACACGGGAAGTCTCGAATTTACTGGCAAGCCACTCCGTGTCAGACACGGGATAATGTATTAAGTCATTAAAGTATCACTGGGTTTTAGAAACAAAAACTTATCCTTTCATAGACCAAAAAAGACCAACGCAATATTTGCTGAACATCGCAAAAACACCGATGAAGAAGAAATTCAAAAAGAAGTATAAAACATAATATACATTTTTAAAGTTTGTGGTCAAATAAATACATACTATGTGCTGTCTTTGAACTACAGCGAGTTATTATTGCTTATCGCCCAAAGTAAATGCCATATTTTATAAATGGCGTCTTGCTATCTATAACTTGCCCTTTGATTATCTAACTATTTAAGGATTTTTACAGCTGTCGCCGCCTTCCTTCTTTCAGCCAACGTATCCAGTCCTTTCTGTTCTGCCATTCTCCATCTCTAAGGTCTCGTCTTTCCATGGCCTCGTCCACTTCATCCCTCCATGATCTTCGGGGTCTACCTCCTTTCCTCCTTTTTATTGGGCTCCAATCCGAAATCTTTGCTATCCACCATGTATGTCTTGTTCTACTGCCATTCTTCGTTTTATCTCCTCATTTCTGATGCGATCTATTTTTGTCACTCTGCAGCTTCTTCTCATGAACTCCATTTCAGTTGCTGTGATTTTGGACCTGTTTCGTTTATTTATTACCCAATTCTCTGCTGCAATGCCATAGGTCATTATACTGCGTACCAAGGTGTTGTAAATTCTCTTCTTTGTATTTCTGGTAATCTGTCT